CATTTTTTTAGGGTATTATAATATACGCATCTACACATTGTCTGATAATAGAAATTTTATATGTTTCTGAACTAATGAAAAATTAGTTAAAGACAATACTTTAACTGTGTTATATAATATATTAAACTGTACACCGAATGCAAATCGGAATTGTGTGATCATAGACTTTATCTTTATTTTTTCCTGGTTTTATAAATATTATGAATAGAAAATTTATAAAAATACCAATTGATGCCGACTTAGGCAGTAAGGTTTGCATCATACATATTTTCTTCGCACACATGATATACTATTATGGTATATCACGTGCATACAAACGCCGCTCTGTATAAATACATCTTCTGTTGTCGAGAAATTTTCGATAAGTCATCAAAATCTGTGAGTCGATAATAAATGTGTAGGTCATTGCGCACAACGCAGGAGGGTGTTTTGTTTTATCAGACGAGAAAACACGAACAATTATTTTGAATGTAATCATAATTTGTTATTATATTCCATTATATATTACGTTATGATGTACCCGGCATGTGCGCCTATATTGGCTATATCTGTTCGTTATATTATATTATGTGCATACGTAGTCTAAAAGTCGTAATAATAATAATAAAAACAATAATAGATAGACACGATATAAATACGTAATACCTGTACAATGGCCGGGCATTATAATATAGTACATTGCCACATTGGTGTTATTTATATCAACGTAGGTACAATGTAGAAAAGTTAAATTATTGTGGCATCTATAGTATTTAATGTTAGAGTTTTTAAGTCTTATTCTAAGGATTTTTCTTAATTACGAAAAGAGACAGTCCAGCATGGATATTATAGTAAAGTTATACAAAGTTATGCAGTCAAATCAGTTTAGCAGAAATTGTAAACGAGATCCCGAACGCACACGCGCCTAATCTAGTTGTAGCCAACGACTAGTTTATTCACTAAAACGTATATGTCTTTATAAGTTCTCCGAAGTTAATTAAAGCATTCTTTAATTTTAACATTTTAAAATTAAATTTAAGAGGAAGATTAGAGTAGGAATTTTGATACAGTTGAATAGTCGATCTAAATTAAACGCCATAACTAATTTAAATATATTATTTTTCTCCGATGTTTTATGACATTTATAGTTGTTTTATCAAGTGAGGCTCCAGGGGGAACTAGGGTCAAATTCCCTTCCCGTACAAAAAAACAAACATAATATGATTTTTCATAAATTATTCAAACTCAGCATACTCCTTACTTCTGGATCCGCTCTAGTATTTTATCGATATACGATACATAAAATAAACCAATATTTTTTGTCACAAAATCAGTAAATTTCGGATATTTTAGTAAAAAAAAATCTGGATGAATTATCACGAATAAGAGAATAGTTTTGTTCGTATATACAGCGTACTACCAACTCGAGCCCTATAAAATAATTATAATGATCTAATATAAGGATTCTTTTTATTATCATTTAATATAACTATATAAGATACATAATGCTTTATAACATAACATTGTGCCATTAATTATATAGGTAAGTAGATAAATTAAGTTCAACGTTCAATGATAGACAAAAGTAGGTATTTATAACATTTAAATATTTAGGTACTGATAATAGTTCCTATACTGTTCGATCAAAAAATAAGTTTAACTATATGAAATTATAAATGTTTTTGTACAGAAAATGTATTTGTTGTTATATTTGAGTGTTTGACAAATGTTCTTTGAACATTTTGCTAAAAAATATAAATGTGTAATGCAAAATAATAGCATTAATATAAGAATAAAATACTACTTTCATAAATGATTTGTAAATTAGTCAATTAATTACAAAAATATCAATTACTTACCTAGGTACGTAAAATATATTTTTCAAATGTTCATCTAGTTTTTTCAACTAGGTACCCATACAACATATGCCCAAATGCGCTTTAGGATAAGTCCCGAACGACTGAGAGTTTATCTATACTCTATAATGTCTCAACGAATTTGATGAGTACAATATTTTCGAGATAATATCTTATGTTTTTTGTAAATTATCATCCAATGATGACTATTTTATAATAGTAAACTTAATATAATAATATAAAAATACGTAAAAATCTAAATAGCTATATAACTTATTTTACGTTAGTTAAACAATATTTTACAAAAAGGACATTATATTTCTTCGTATTTGGTTACCTCTATGATGCGTTTAAAGTTTACGCTAATATTGAGCAATAATCAAGAATACTCCATAATTTAAATTTTGATTTGTGAAATTTCGTTACGTTTCGTTCCGTATCTTTTAGTTAGTAGATATTTAGTTACACTTCAACATGGGTATCTTACTATCATATTATAATGTTGATAATACGAAATAATAAAGAAAGCGATGACCTACCAAATGATATTTTATTCACAATTTAATAATATTTCCATATTATTCGGAAACACTTCATGCAGTAAAGTCTATAATTTATAACACAAAATACACGATATTTCATCACCAGAACCGACAGCTTAGAGAAACACCGTTGGCCGTTACTGACAGTCAACAGCATATTTTTGAAATAATTATTTTAAAATAAAATATTGTTTGATAATTGTTAAGCATGGTAGCAATACGGTGGTCATCTTTTGTGCATTGTCAGTTCACCAACATCAAAAAATATCGTACTCCGTTTGCGCATATAACATATTATCAAAAATTAGCGAAGAGTATACAAAATATTGAAAAGTTCATGAGTAGTAGTACCGTCGCATATTAAAAGAGCTTTTAAATTTTAATACCAAATTCTAGTTGAATTTGAAAATTAAATGTTTGTTGTAATTCACATAATATATAATATTACGTATATAATATATATACATACATATATTGTATAAAAAATCAAAAATAAATTTACTTAGGTATTTAGTACAATTTTAAATAATAGTTGTACATACTCGATACATATATAGGCGTATAGCGATAGTAAATATATACTTATACGGGTCGATAGTTATTATTAGTCATCCATACGCTTCAGTTGCTTAATAATCTTCTCGAAATATTTGTACGCAAACTATATTTTTAAACAGAAATACCTCAAGAATATTTAAAAGTTGGTAAGACAAACCTTAAATTATAAATTAAATGTTAGTAAACGACTTGTGCTATTGGGTGATCTTAATCTCGTCCTGTTATATTGTTAAATATGCAGATGTGCAATTAATTATTTACAATTTTTATAATCAAAAATTAGTTTACAAACTATCTGCAGGCTTCGTATACCAAATTTTCACTACAAGGATATAAGTATAACCTGTTACAATTAAAATTATTCTGTATGATCCAAAAAAAATAAAGGAACTTCATCAGTTATATATTGTCGAACCAAACAATGAAAATATAAAGGCATAGTTAATAAATTTAGTGCACTAATGGGTCGTTTATTAATTTATGTTAATATTTTTTACTTTTTAGTTATTACCTACTAATTTAAGAAATATAAATAGTTAAACATTTTCGTCAACCTCATTCTCCTTCTACATTTTGTACGTTTATACAGAATAGCTCAAGTATTTAAAATACAAATAAATCATTTAAGTATAGGTACGTATAACAGTTAGCAAATTTATGGGTGTATAAGTAATATTAATTAATAACTAATAAGTATCATTGTGACTATACAATGTGTGTACCGTGTAGTGTGTATACAGATTTACACATTGTAAAATATGTCTACATTAATTTATTATTCAATTATGAACTGCTACTACAGGTATATGTAGTCTCTAGGTCAAATATTAGATGCCTATTTTTGCTATATTTATTATTTTATTATATAACAGATAATAAAATATTTAATATTAATTAATATTATCTTGTTGCTTATTACAATTTAATAACTAACTTAATGGCATGAAGTAAATATTGTTGTTTTAATCTTCTTCAATAAGTTTTTATAACCTTATATTATATTATTATGTTTTAAAAATATAATAAGCAAATCAGTATGCAAATATTACTTTAAAATAATTATGTAAGGTTAGTATACCTACTTGCTTTTTTTATTTTATAATTCACATAATAATATAAAACTATTTCTTTGGTGCATTTTATAAATGTCAGGAATCAAAAACACATTATTTTCAGAATGAGAAAATAAAACTTTGAAAAATCATTCAAAATTGTTGATCATAATATCTTAACTCATAATTAATTCAATTTAATATTTAAATATTTAATGTACCTTCTTTCTGTTAATCATTAAATATGAATTTAAAATCTATTCTTCATAGGTTGTACGTGAATAATATAATTTTTATTTTATATGACTTACGTTATTTGTATCATTAAGTTTCAACAAGGCATGCATTTAAAATAATAACTATATTTCATTCAATTTGAGAGAAATATAAAATAAAAATAATCTTATAACTACTGTTCAATAAAAAACAACGTAAGTACAAATTTAATCAATGATAAATTACTTACATTTATGGAATTAACTCGACTTAATAAGAAAGTTTAACCTTTTTAAAATTATCAATCCTCAACTCTTAAGTAGACATACCTGTTTTGTACCTAATAAAATGTTTCTTACAATGTTTGAACCAAAACAAATGCCACTGAGAGTGAGTTATAGTTTTGACTTACGTGATGGGTACGTTGTGCTTACAAAATAAAAAATTTTTGATTAAAATCGTTTGCAACAGTAAATTACTTGTTTTTGAGCTTGTTTTGGGAAGGCCGAAAAATCCATTCCTCGTTATAATACCAATATTTAGCCATTGCCGTTATGGCGTCACGCTGAATCAATAATAACTAAATATGTAATATAATATATAATGTATATACTGTAAAATATTCTTTATTGCAATTTTGATCACAGTTATGTCGATATGTGTATTTTGATAATTTGAGGATCAGCAGATACATCGGTTTAGATGATTATTTAATCATCTATTTAAAACTAGCTCTCCGAGGTCTTCTATTAACATTTTTTCATTCTATCAGCCGAAATGATGTTGGGTTCTAATGCCTAGAAGTCCGAGTTGTTGTTATCGCAATAACACGACGTCGTCTTTGACTTCATCCCCCATTCAGAATGTGCTGTCTGCTGAGTACTTGAGACAGCGTTATCCTGGTGTCGACTGTGAGCGCCTCGTCCCGTCGAATTCGATTCCATCCCGTACGGTCGGACGTTAGGATGTGGACGGACGTTGGGTGGACGGACGTTAGGTGGACGTACGGAGTTCATACGATCTGCCGGCGAACGGGTAGATGTCGACCAATCAGCCGCAGATCGTGCACCTGTCGAACGACTGTTCCGATCGGTCGACATCAATTTGTCGGCAGACCGATCGGCCAGTGAACAAGTGAAGTTTGGCCTATCCGCCGACGGACGTATGAATGTCGAAGAGGCCTGTGGAACTGTAAAGGACGACCGATCGGCCAGTGGACCGGATGAAGTCGATCGATTGGCTGGCGCACGTGAACCGAATGTTGGACGATCGGCTGGAGCACGCGTACAACTTGAACGTTCAGGTTGTGATGGGCACGTGGGGATTGGACGATCGGCCGGAGCACGTGTACAACTTGAACGTTCAGGTTGTGATGGACATGTGGGGGTTGGACGATCGGCTGGAGCACGTGTACAACTTGAACGTTCAGGTTGTGGACAGGTGGGAGTAGGACGATCGGCTGGGGCTCGTGTACAGCTTGAACGTTCGGGCTGTGACGGACATGTGGGGATTGGACGATCGGCTGGAGCACGAGTACAACTTGAACGTTCAGGCTGTGGACAGGTGGGAGTAGGACGATCGGCTGGGGCTCGTGTACAGCTCGAACAATCCGGTGGTGGACAGGCAGAAGTCGAACGATCAGGCTCGCGCTTACAGCTTGAACGTTCGGGCGGTGGACATGTGGGGATTGGACGATCGGCTGGGGCGCGTGTACAGCTTGAACGATCTGATGGACCGGTAGACGTCGAACGTTTGGGTGGCCCGCGTGTACAGTTTGAACAATCCTGCGATGGGCGAGCGGTAGTCCTACACGCTCGTCGCTTTTTCTCCGATGGAACGTCCTGGCCTTCCGAATTGGTCTGCTGGCACGAGTCACCCGGCTTGGGTTTTTCGCTGGTCACCACCGTCCCGAAGTTAATGATGATCTGCGACAGTTGCCGGTCTTCCGTTTCGCAGATCGATGGTTGCGAACGCTGATCGCTCCGCTGACGGTGCTGAGATTGACGCGTTCCACCGTCGTTCGTCAGGCAGATCTGTTCTGACGACCGTACCCACTCCGGTTGGGGTTTCGGCCGATGAGCATACGTAGTTGTTCGGTTTTTGCTGGAACAGTTCGATGCCGGAGGTGCAGGCTGTCCGCAAGGACCACGCTGTCGGTCTTTCGAATCATTCGCCTCGGGACGATTGCCTCGGCCGCTACTTATCCATTCCGGGGTCGGTTGCGATTTTAAGAAATCGCATATACTCATGTCGGTCCGTTCCTCGCGTCCGCCGCACGCATTTCGTGGTTTAGGTGTCGGCTTTTTCTCGCATTTTGATATCAGTTGGCAACAGCATCGGTCCGACTTGCACACATCTCTATCGTTTTGGCTCATCGTCCGGTCCTTTAAAATACTATTATTGGTTATAGGTGATCTGTTCGTGGGCTTTAGTGTTACACTGTCAAATTTCGTTTTTATTAATTTCAATATATATATTTCGATATAATTTCGATTATTTAATTAAAAGTTGTAATTCATAAGTAATTTTCTTGATTTTAAAATATAAAGCGTATCTGAAAATTATTGTGTTTGTATTTTTTTACTCGGATATAATAATTACAACGTTGCCTAGAAAACACCACGCCATAACAACACATTATGATTGAAGACCAGACTTTATTGCACACTAAACATATTAATAATATAACTTACTTTTTGTGGTTAGTATTTAGGTGCTTAAGCTTTTTTTTATGAATGTAGATAAATATTATTATGGCGTTATGCTGAATCAAAAAGCTCAAAAATGTATTATAATTATAAAATATAGCCTAAAGGCTTCTCATAAGTTTCTCTTGTTAATAAAGGAAAATTGTTATAATATAATGAATATAAGGTTCAAATATGTCTGGTATTTAATTTATGATACATATGGATATTATAGTATTAATATTATACTATATTAACATACCACTTTATGATAGATAACATTTTTACATTTAAACTAGTAATTTGAAAATGATATAATTTATATTATTGCATTTTGAAAATATCAAAAATTCGCTATCACAACGTTTTTTTTACAATCGTCTGAAGGTAAATATTAGTTTGATTTTTATGATAGTCTTCATAGTTCATACTATTTAGACAAGAATTATAATTAATTCAATCTAGTATCTATCAAAGTGTAACAGACCCTGTCATTTTATTAGGTATTCTATGTACTCGTATTTTCATTAAAACTCCAATCAACTATAAAATAGAAATCAACTACAAACAAAATTTGACAATATCATTATGTCTTAAAAAAAATTATTTATTTTAAAAGTTTTAAGTACCCATGAAGAATATTCTCAAGGTTCAACAAAATAACTAAAATCGGAATTTTTCTTTTAAATATTTAACTTCATCTAAATTTGAAAATAAAATATCTTTGAAACAAAAATTTAAGATTTTTTGGTTTGAGTATGAGGTATAGCTATAAAAATTGACCATTTTATACATTTTTAACTACAAAATAACTTAAACAATTTTTACAAAATTTTAACTTATGAATGTTTATAAAAAAAAGCGTGCTTTTTTATCATTAATATTTTTTAATTGCTACTAGGTATAACAACTTATTTGAAACCTTGTAATACATTTTGAAGCTTTTTGATACAATGAAATATTTTTTACCGATATTTATGCGAAAAACTGAAACTAAAAAATTGAAATTCGAAAAGATCTATAAATAGCTCAAAACAAGTTAAAATATTTTTATGTTTATAATTCGATTTTCCGGTAACTTTTTGTTTAAGGAAGGAAAACCTGCGAGAGAACTTATCATTAATTTTACAAATCTTAGATATAAATATTAAATATTTATGCATTTCTAACTTAAAATAATATGCAAATGTTCATGATTTTGACGAATTTCGTCAAAATACTTAAGACGCTCTTAAAAAAATGTTGTGAAATAAGGCCTAATTTTTTTTTAATTTTCACTAACAATAACTTATGTAGAACCTTGAATTAAATTTTCCAAGTTTTTGACGAAGTTTTTGACCAAGTGGTTAATTTTTTATTGGCAGTAATAAATTGAGAAAACAATTGAAAATGTATCATGGCTATAAACAGCTTAATAGGAGTCAAAATATTTCATAAAAAAAAATACATTGTAAAATCAATACATTCTTTGTTCCTCTCAGAAACTAAAACGATAGGGAAATTAATCATAGTTATACTACGCATGCATAAATGCAATGCGAACTGTATTAATAGTTTAATACATCTGACTCGTAGAACCATTGTATTACAATAAAAAGTATATTCTAATTTCATCATAGTTACCTATGTAATAAAATACATTAGGAACCTATATTTTTGATTTTATGTACGTAAACCGTTATTAAGGACTAATACCATTAGTACATAATTACATACATTTTAATAACTCAGAAACTACTATAAGTACCTATGCTTATATAAAAAATATCATGTCTACGCACCATTAATATTTTGAAACCACTATTATAAAAACTTAAGAGGAATCTTGTATTAGATTAAGCTTGTTTGTACCGATAGTCAATACTTTAAAAAAAGTAAAGACAAAATAAATGTTGTCAAAGACACAAAAAAAAATATTTATATTTGATTTTACAACGATGTGTGTTTTTAATTGTTTATATTTTTTTTTAGGTAGGTACCCCTAACCTATATGTATTATATTTACATAATTTATAGAAGAAAGATGCTTTCACTTATAACAAGGGAAGCGACTAAGCGTAAAATTATGTTAACGTATTAATTGAAACACGAATAAAAATAATCAACTTGCTTATAATAAAAATTTTAATCTCAATATACATGATAATAATCGTTTTAAAAACGAAATTACACTTTTGAGAATCATCGGCAGTTTGTAAAATTTGTTGTTATGTGAATAATCTCAAAAAAAAAAAACAAATTAAAAGCTTAAGTTAAATCAAAATCATAATTACTTATTCGCTAGCAAATAATAATAATAATAACTACTGTAATAACTAATAAGCAATACGTAATAATACAATATTAAATATGATTGTTTTATGTTATAATATATACAATATTACAACATGCAATATTATTATTATGCACATTGCACATGCACAAGACATTACGCGTCGAAATGTAGGACTAAATTCGTTCAAGGAAATACTAACTGAATAATAATAGTATAGTCACTTGATTAATCAGAATAACCTCTCACTTATAAGTTATATTATAATTATTCGCGAACAATGAATTACTGTTCATTTTGACGTCGGAATCAGTGACGGTCAAATGAATTTGTTACTGGCGGGGAAAGGGCTGATTTTTTAACACATGCACTATTTGATCATTAAAATTATAATTTTTGGTTTCCATCTTGTTCTTTTTTTATTCAATATAATATAAGTTATTATGAAAAAATGTCAAACAACCCCTCCCCCCCCCCCAAATCCTCTATCTCCGTTTGACCACCACTGATCGGAATGGTTACGATAATTCCACATTGTTGTTTAACAAAACGAAATAATAATATTGGTGCTGTTAACAATACGCTACCGTCGGGAAAATGTTGCACGCCGAACGTGTATCCTGTATTCCTGTTCCTGTGTGGGCCACGGCATAAGAGGTCGATGAACCAGATAACTGAACCAAAAACCGTTTCCAAATAATATATTCGTACACAATCACGAAAATCGTACATGTTGTAAATCGCCCGATGTTACTAATGTAAAAAGATAGGTATTGAATTGTTGCTTAATTGATAATAGTACTGGCAAATGAGGCTGTTCAGTGTTCGATCATTGATTATTAATTAATATACACCGTATTGATTGTAAAGTAAACGGTATTTTGTTTTAAATAAACAATAATTAAATAGTTATAAGCAAACAGCCGCATGAAGTAGATATCATTTGAATATAGTTTCAACATATTTTTATCCATCGGTTGTTTGGCTAGATGCAGTGTGAAAACCTTCAGCCGTCGCCAACGACCATACCACGTTGAATACACCAGTTCTCGTCCGATCACTGAAGTTAAGCAACGTCGGGCGTAGTTAGTACTTGGATGGGTGACCGCTTGGGAACACTACGTGCCGTTGGCATTTTTTTTTTTCCAGAACTAAGTGATGTATTTTCTTTCTATCTGTCTTTAATTTTTAAAATAATTAAATTTAGATTTTTTACTTTTTATATTGTATTATAATTTGGTTGTTAACCATCCCAGGTTTCAAAGTTTCCCCTAGAAATACATTTTTACAAATGTATGTATTGCCAGGCTATTGTGGTCTGGAATTTTGATTATTTAATTAGACTCTTTAAATAAATAAATATTTATTCGACAAAATAATATGTCTGTTTTCAAATCGAAAAAACTTAATCTTGAATAGTTATTAAATTATTTTTATAACGGTTAACATTTTTATTTTTTTCATTCATTTCTATTATAATAACCATCTGTTTTAAGGATTCAATAATAAGTATTTTCAAAAAATAAATGAGCATATACCTATTAAATATTATATTCATATAGGTATACAACACATAATACCTTATATAATATAATACGTTGTATGTGGGCGATGGCCCCCTAAGGCGTTACGAAACAAATTATTTTAGCACTCCTAACTTTACAGTTTACACCTAATGTGCGCCTATGGCCTGTTGGCTTATGGTACCGAATATGTATTATAGAAGTAACATTTGGTCAGATTGAATCTTTAGAAATTGAGTCTACCGGATACCATATATGTACAATGTAGATCGAATGTATGTAGTTGGTTATATATATATGTATATATATATATAGGTTCTTATTTTAATAATTATAATATATTTATAAAGAAAGCACTGCTGCTGCAAAAAATATAATTATAATGTGATAACTGATGAGTGAAAACTCTGTATAGGAAATAGAAGGTCTTAATTATAAATCTCACTGTAAAATGGTACAGTAATAATACTGTTTGTACATACTTGCAGAATTGCACGATAATGAATTGTAATCCTTCAATAAGTTAGTTTTTATCTGCAATACTGTTCTTGTATAAATTCTTTATTGTTTTTTTGTTTCAGGCTAAAATTGTCTACAGTAAAAATTAACAAAAATTGTCAATATTTTAACGGCAAGTCATAAATAAAAAAATTAACAAACAAACAAATAAATACAAATATAGAACTAATGCAAATAAATAGTAACTAGTTGTCGAATCAAAATCATCACAATATCATCTAAAGATTAAAATTCAAAAAAGCCTAAGTATAATTCCTGTTGAGTGTTTATCAGCGTTAAGGACATTAAGACTACATACTGTAGTCTACATTATACGATTGTTTAAGCTGCATGGGCGGATAGGCCTACCGGGCAACCGGGCATTTCCCGGTGGCCCCCCCCCCTTTGTATTTTGGGAATGGGGCCTTTTTTATGGTTAACGCAATGACACATTAATAATATATAATTACAAAAGAAATTTCAAATTTGAAATATTATATTATTTTATATTATAATCTTATATTTTTTAAGTTTTGAACTACAAATTATTAATTAACACTGTGGTTTTGTCAACATTTGAACTTTAAATGCTTATAAACAATAATCATTCCTATGTATCGTTAATATTTTAGGTATAATAAAAACTTATATAGTATATACCTATTACATTTTTATCTTTTTAACCGAACAAATAATTTTTTATTGACATTTGTAGGAAAAAAACTCAAACTAATCAAATACAATTGAAGTGAAGACAGTTTAACCAAGGTTACCAAACAATTTTGACAAATTTTCTTTTTTTCCCCCAATTATTTTAAAAGTACTGGAGGATTTTTAATTTTGATCTACCAAAAGTACTTACTAGATCGAATTTGCTTTTGAAAATATATTCGAATAATAATTCAAATATTTGTCGTAAGGATTATTCGAATAACTTATTTGGAAAAACTAGGTATCGAATAATTATTCGTTAGTTTTTATTAGTTGCGGCCCATCACTAAGTATATAAAATAGGTGCTTATTAATTATTACGATAATTGTAATATAATCATGTATTCATGTAGAATATTAACTAAAAGAAACTATATTTTATAGGTATCTTAGTATAATTTTTACACTTAATAGCAATCAGCAGTATAAAATAAGTAGGGGTTGTCAAATAAATTTTCTAATATTTTTAAAACACAAATTGTGTTTCTTAATGTGTCTATTACATTTATAATTTTCAACATTATTATTTTTAAAGTGTAAAAGCCTAACTTAAACACTAAACTTTTATAATTAGATGTACTTAATTGTCAATTGATAATAGAATATAGATGTTGTTATAATATATTTTATAGATTTTCTAGATGTTAATATTGCCATAACAGACAAATCATACACGTTCAATGTTTTGTTTTGATATTGTAGGTAATATAATTCATCTAATACTGTACTTGCGAGCAACTTTTTTTTCATGTGGGGCCCCTTTTTAAAATTGCCTGGTAGGCCAAAAATGGCCTATCCGCCCACGTTTAAGCTTATAAATCATAGCATATAAGTTATAACATTGGTTTTGTTTCGTCGTCCATATGTCATGCAACTATACTCATGTCTGTCGATCGAATAAATATTCGTTATTAGTTGTTACTTATTATACCTAATAAAATTATAATTTATATTGATGGTCTCATACTCCCAAACACACAGAAACTACACGGCTACACCTCAGATAAATCGCCGAGTGGCTCAATTTACCGATAAAATTGCTTGTATATAGGTATGATAATATAACATCTTTAATACAAACCGTGTTTGCTACAACGAGTCTTTGGAAGTTGTTCACCGTACCCGAAAAAAGTATACTGGAAATTATAAAAGAGCACTCGAGTTTAACGATACTTACCAATAGAGAAAGACCAATACTGCTAGAGACCTATGAAGGACTGACGTGATCAATGTAAAAACTTTAATATCATATAATGAGTATTTTGAAATCGAGTATAATATAATTTTGATTATAGAGTGTTACGTTCTTCGTTTGTCGACGACCTCACTATAGTGAGATACGTGGGAATAGTGATTATTTTTTCTCATTGCCGTAATGTGTTTTCCAGTTTCAGTATAGTCTAGTTCGAGTGACAGTTGCAAGCACATTTATCCTTTTTGACTGTTGATTCGGGACAGGTTTTCGGTGGTGGACTCGAGACAGCCGCTTTTTCCCGACTGCAACGGTCACGGGCAGGCGCAGCCGGAGGTTGTGTTGCGTGTACAGGACCGACGGATGAACGATTGGCCGGTGGACATTTGGACGTCGACCGATCGGCCGGTATACATTTGGACGTCGGACGATCGGCCGGTGGACATTTGGACGTCGGACGTTCGGCCGGTGGACATTTGAACGCCGGACGATCGGCCGGTGGGCATTTGGACATCGAAGGTTTAGCTGGTGGACAGTTGCAGGGCATCGAAGGTTTAGCCGGTGCAGGACTGACGATGATCGGACATACTTTTTGCTGGACTTCTGGATCGGTCTGCTGACACGAGTCTTGCTTGCACGGTCCGTTGGTCACGACCGTCCCGAAGTTGATGATGATCTGCGACGATTGCACGTCTTCAGAGGTGGAACTTGCTTTCGGTTGGTCGGGCGCGCAGGGTTGCATTGGACGCTGCTGGTTCGGTTGCTGTTGCTGACGCAAATCATTCACTTTGATCCAATCCGGGATCGGTTGAGTTTTCAAGAAATCACATAGACTCATTTGTGCAGGGCGTTCCGCTCGACCACCGCAGCCATTATTCCGCGGTTTCGTTGCCACCACCGGGGCGGCCGGTTTTTCCTCGACTTTTGATATCAGTTTGCAACAGCATCGGATCGACTTGCACGACTGCTCATTTTGTCCCATCGTTCAGGTCGTTAAACTTTTTAGGGGTGTTAGTGTTGGGTATATAGTGAATTTCGTTCGATTGTCTAGCTAATGTCGTTTTATATTGGTAATTCGCTTGTTTTTTTTATGTATCACACATAATATTCCTATAGCAACATACTATTTTGTATTTTATATAGAATGCCAAGATTTAACGGTATGATATTATTCATTTCTCTCCGCCACGAATCTAAACACGTGCAAAAATGCAAACAATTTTTGAAATTACGTTTGTGGTTTGTAGACTATTTTTAAAGGCACTCTAGTAGAGGTGCCTTAAGGTTTGTAACGGCGATGTCAAAGTGTTTTACTGTAAAATGGCTACGGTGTGGCGTGGTAATTTTAGAAACTAGGGTCTGGATAACCTAGATTTTAGGTGCTGGATAAATCCTGTACTAGTGTACTGTATATATTTAAATTAATATTACACGACGTGTATATAGTATATATATATTATATAGTTTACAGCTGTATAAATGTAGAAGACGAGTTAAATAGAACAATATTGTTGTAGACTATGGTTAAACACTTCAAACTTATTTTAACTATAATAATGTACAGAAGGTATTTTAAATACCTTATTAAGTCTGAAACTATATTATAAGTGCAATAGCAATCCTAGAGTTTCAATATTAAATGAGGGAAATGTACTCTATAACACTTATATATAGTATTTTTTTTTTGTATTTTAGTCCTCATATGTATCTCTTTCAAAATAATACTAAAATAATAATTTAGTAAGTAGTGTGAATACTCAATAGGTAGTGGTATAAAAAAAACAGAGGAAGTCACTATGCTATATTGAGTATACCTCCTGACTTCCTCATTGAATAGGTCACTACAGTCATGATCGATGTATTAGAATTCAACTAGAATTTAGTGCAGATATTAAGATATATTTTTTCTAGACAAAAAAAGGCTTAAAATACATTACAATAGGTCCCTCTTCGGTTTATAAATTATGGTGACATTTCAAAAAAACATTTTGGAGAGCCTATTATATGAGCATCAATTTTTTATCATATTTTGACGTAATTGGCTTATATTCAAACAAAAAAAAAACGCTTGCATACGAGTCTGCAACATATTGGGACATTTTATGTCTTTCCTTATTGTTCATTTCCTTTTTGTTTCTCTCAAAGTTGTGCCATTCGACAGGGACATGAATAACACTTATGGTAGGTAACACTTTTCGTGGACACTTTTTGGTGAACACTTTTTCGTACCGGTTTTTTATTTTAATGTGCTAAAGTAAAGACATAAAATGTCAAAATAACGATTTTTCATTAAACCGTTCTAGTTATTTTGTTGAATCTAATTAATAAAATAATAATTTTAGAAATTTGGAACTTTTGTGTTTTTATTACCTGTCATAAAAAGAAAATCGTGCCTATGTATTTGTAATATTTTTCAACCGCTATTGTAACAATATATCAAGCGTTTTATGTTAAATTGTCATGCTTTTTGACCCAACCAATACATATTTTTTGACATTTATACGAAAAAAACGAAAAAAACCAAAATTGAAAATGTCCATCAACAGCTTAAAACAAATCAAAATATTTTTAAAAGTATCTATTATGTGAGAAATGATTAACTGTATGAAGAGATTATAGTATAATTTATAATATTATACATTTACCTATATTAAAAATATAGTCAATTTTTTTGTCAATATACGAGTAATACCTACCTATAGGTTATATAATAGGCTATTATAAACGATTTATTTAGTTTAATATATTTTGTAGTATAATTTAGCAGTAATAGGATTGTGGAAGGAAGGAGGGCAGTTATCCTTGGGTGCCGGATTTGCACTCCTCGACTTCCACTCCTCTCTATATGCTCTCACCCTCTTATTACGTAAAAATGACCATGGATATAATAATGAACTTTGACTTATCCTATTGTGTATTGTTACAATGTTGTGTACCTACCTACCTAAATCGCTACATAGAAAACACATGATATGAGTAGTTATATTATATTATTATAAGTTGTTACTTATAAGTTATAACATTCATTGTATGATGATACATTTAATCATAAACTATTTGTACAAATGTACAACGATTACAATAATTACTTATAATTTTTATAATGACGACAATAGTGGTTAAGTACTTTGGAAACTTGCAACCTACGAGTCATACCTATCCTTACAAAATAAAATATTATATTATTCATTATTATATTAACGAATGTATATTATGCGTTGTGTTGCAAGGAGGTCGACCGACAAAACGGGTAAAAAAAAGAGAAGGACAAAAACCGCATACCGTTGGCGCGGCAAAAAACGCGAAAACCGTATAAAGGTAGTAGGCATAAGAATCCGCGAACGACCGACAACGCATGCGCAGTGGACTGTATCAGAGTGCATCGTACGCAGTAAGTTGTACGCACGTCCTGTCACAGTTTCCTGTGTCAGCTGCTGCAGCTGCAACCGCTGCACTTTTGAGCTGACAACACATCGAGTGCGTTCTTATCACTCGCTCAAAACCTATTTTTACGATAATAACAACAATAAATAATTAAACGGGTGTAATATTGTTTGATGTATCCGTATCAAATATTGTAATTATTATTATTCTAGTATTATCATGGCGTATGAACGGTTTGCCAAAAACAAAATATATCATATTATAAATAATTAAATAATAATAATAACGACGTCGTCGTCGTCGCCGTATTCTTATCGTACCCACAGTCGTATGCGTGTACCACCTCTCCGCCCATCCGATCGACCTCGACGAAACCGTCGACTGTTCGTACGAAATAATAATAATAAAATATTGTCGTCGTCGTCGTCGTCATTGTTGAATCACTCTCGGCGACTTCTGTCCGCGTCGTCCGTCAGAATAGATGTGTTAGTACCTACCTACGTATTATTAGGACGCGCCGCCCAGAAGGACGTTTGTCGTCGACTCGCCGTCGTCGTCGATGTCCGAACGCGGAAGCCGTATTCTGTCGTGACTCTTAGATAGCAGACACAGCTCGTTGTTGTTCATCGACCGATTCGTCCGATAGGTACACCTACCAAATAAAGCATAACATAATATATTATATAGTGGGTATTATGACTTTCGGCCCACCGATCGGCGACCATCGTCACCGACGGATATTCGGCTGGCCGTCGGTCGAAATCGTCTCCGCACCGGGCACACTAAATAATAATATATTACACGTCGCATGAATATCGCTTTTTGTTGTTGTTGTCATTGCTATATTATTATATAATTGCAAGGGGTGCATATTTGGACGTATACATTCTCAACTCACCGTAAGTACACCTACCTACAAGCTTAATTTTTGTTGCACTTTTGTTTTGAACTTTTGTACCTATACTGTGGCTGCTCGCTGTGAATTCATTACATTACTGATGCAATTACTAACGCCAGTTGAGACTAACATTTTTGTGCACTTTTTATTTTGACATAGCTTATTTCCTACAAATTAAGTGTCTGCAATAAAATACTGGTCCCATTTTTAACAAAAATTGACATATATTTACTCAAATCAAAGATATAATTAATAGCCAAGATATTAGGGCACCTAGTTTCTCATATACCCTTTCTCCATTTGACAATAACAATATAGTTCTTCAAAAAACATTATCAACAACATGTTATGTTTCACATAAGAACTAGCTAACAAAATATAATTTAATTTACTCTCATCAATGTATAGTCCAACCATATTGGTACCTATTTAAAGATAATAACTTGCTATTTGTTGGACTGACTTTTGCAATATTTTAAAAGGCAAAACTTTTTTTTTTTAAATCAATTAAACTATTCCTATAAAAAATTAGACAAGCACCAAATATTAGGTACATAATTTAGGTGTATTAAATATTAATGCAACTATATAATATGTTGGTATACATAGTATGTTAAACCTACTTATACTTGACATACACTTAATAGTATACACAAATATAACTAGGTACCTATAACAGCATAACTTATAAGTTGAATAAAAAAATCTATATACAAATTAGAGAGGTGCCTACCTATATTTTTTAGAAATATTCAATTACATAAGTGTTACTAATAATTAAACCAGTAATAAAATATATTATGTTCCTGATTTTTGCGAGGAATTTATATACATTTCATAGAAAGATCTTAGGAAAGAAATGATTTTTAAAGAAACTAAATCAGACTCTTCTACTTCATAAGTAGGTACTCTAACCATTTTTCACTTAAATATGATATTTTGTTTTGGTCATTATAAAATATTACAGATTTTGCTGGGCTTGCATGCAATCGTATTTAATTGGTAAGACAAGCAGTACCTCTCCTTTTTGATTAATATATAATTACTATTTTCATATAGATTTCAAAAATAATTATTAAATAGTACACCTGATAAGACCTCTTGAAGTGCATGTATGTTAAGTGTTTTTCATTGAACGTCAATACCTAGGCATAAAAGTTGCACATAAAACTTCACTTTCTAATTTGTTTGTTTAATTGTTACAACATTAAATTGTTGCAACAGTGTTTTAAAATACACAGCTTTGCAAATACATTTTGAAATAGGTACATTATATTAATTTTCTTATTTTTGTTTCTATTTATTTATTAATTTTAAATTATAAGTTTGTAATGAATTAATCTTATGAAAAATTTTACAACTTATTATAAAAGATTTGTATTCCTAAACACTTTTCTAAAGTTTAGTTTTATTATTAAAAAAGTACCTCATATAAGTAATATAAGTCATATAAGTCTGATGAACCATTTTGATTATTAAATATTTGAATTACAAAGCAATATATGAACAACTTTATAAGGTGTATAATATTATATTGTAATATAGATAAGTTACGAGGATTGGAAGCGGTCACTTTTTGTGTTTGCCTAACACATGTTCAAGTAATTTAAACCTGTTATATTTCCAACTTATCGATTATCGATTGATTTGATAAAGTATTTAAGAAGATGCCATACCCGTATGTTTTGTCTCAGTCTTTCAAACACATAACATAGCAAATTCTATGTTCTGAATAATTAGTTTAACTCTGTTAAGTTTAATCTTTGGGTGAATTGACCTAAATTCAAATTTAGTTGTAAGAATATTATCTAGTCGATGACCTAGGTTTTTTTTGTATACTTCAATTTTAAAGGAAGTTATGAGTATATAATATTCTTACCACTAAATTTGATCATAGGTCAATTCACTCTAAGATTAAACATAACAGAGTTAAATTTGTTATTCAGAACGTAGAATGTGCTGTGTTATGTGTTTGTAAGACTGAGACGAAGAATGCGGGTATGGCATCCTCTTAATGAAGCAATAAGAATTCTGAAAACAGATTTGAAGTCTATTCAAGATTGACTTTTCCAACATTTTAAGGTGTACTTCAGATATGTTTATACCATATTAACCATAAATTAAAAATATAATTGCTCATTAGGTAGGTACTAAATGAAAATACCAAACCAATTCAATAACCAAAAAATTATTATT